AAGATGTGCTCCGCCAAACTGACAGAGTGAACAAAGAAAAGGGAAAACTGGCGATACAGAAGCAGAGGATTCAACACAGGAGAGAGGTCAAGAAAATCTTAAAGAGGAGGTGCATACCATGTGGAGAGCAACTAGTTCAAGTTGAAGTAGCATGACTTAAGAGACAGGGGCACTGAGAACTGTTATCATCAAGCTATCTGCACTCATCATGCTCTCTTTACCTGAAAGAAAAAAATTCCCAGGCAAGCTTGGCTTGCATTCTTATCTGTATTTGGCCTTGATCATATGCTAATGAGGTTTCTCCCCTCCATACACTATTTTGATTTGCCCATTTCTGAAAGTTGAAAGTAAGCTTTGAAGCAAAAATTATGGAGCTGCCCACTCCTACTGACCATATTCCTACTGGATAACCACTACTGGGCCCACATGAAAGGCCTGCCAGCAGCCCCAACTACGGTAAGCACTATGCTTCCTAAGATTCTGTCATGACCTGGCCCACTGGTTGCCACAGAGGGGCACCTGTAAAACTCCCAAGGAGGGCCGGCTGAGTGGCGCATTGGTTAAGAGCTGGCTTGGTGATGCCAGAGGGCCCCGGTTCGGATCCCACATATGAGGGCCAGTGACACTGCCCTCTACAGCTAAGATGCTGAACAACAGCTCAACCTGGAGCTGGGCTGCCATGAGTCGCAGGTGATAGCATAGGCTGCAACCACTGCTGCAGTGAGTTGCCATGGGCTACCGTGTGTAGTCAGCAGCCCACGTTAGCAGCCAGCAGCCGCTGTGAGTGGCCATCCAGAAGCCGGCAACTGATCTGCCTCGCCTGGGAAGGGCGCAATGATGGTGTCAAATTAGGCAAGTGAAGCAACGTCCTCCACAACTAGACTGAGAACAAAAGAACAGCAACTTGTCTGTTCCCCTTCCCCCCAATTCCCCAGCGCTGTTCCCATCCCCCAATTCCCCAATAAAAATCTTAAAAAAAAAACTCCCAAGGAAGCTAAATTCAGACTATGACCCAGAGGCTCTCTTCAGCTCATCTTTTCCTGGGAGCCTTCATCTAATAGTGGCAATGTTTCTTCATAATTCGATTTGTACTTTGTGTTGATTTTTTTTCATATATATTTGTTTGAAAATAGTTCTTGACAAAATTATGTAACTTTGATTCAGAATAAAAAAAGAAAAAACTAGGCTGGGGCAAGTTCTTTTTAGCTTCAGTTTCAAGATCAATAAACGGGGACAAAAAAAAATCTTACTTCTCAGAGCTGTTGGGATGAGTAAATAAACTAATGTAGATATCATGTATGATACAGATTAAGGGATCACTCATTGATAGCTATTTTTCAAAATCTCAATTTAATAAGATAATCCCTTCCATGTGTGAGCATGTGTGTGAGTGTGAGTGTGTTGTGTGTGTTTGCGGGTATATATACAAAGTGTAGTAAGAATAAAACAGATTCTTTTTACCTACAGATAAATGTAGGTTGTAGAGGCAACCTACATCTGCTGAGATAATGGGGGATTCCAGAAAAGGTCACTTTTGAGTTCTTGCAGAAAAAAATGTGGAACACGATAAGGAGTCTCCAAAGCCTGTGAGCTGTAGCAGAATCAGAAATTTGGTAAACTGGAATAGTTTATTATGCCTGTTTTATTTATATACATATATATGTATATATATATATTACTAATATATTACTATGGAAAATTTCAAACGTACAAAAATGGAAAGACTAATATAATATACCACCATCTACCCAGTTTCAATGATTATCAACTCCGGGCCAATCTTGTTATATCCCAAACTATTTCTTCTCTATTACCAGATTATTTATAAGTAATTCTCAGAATCATATAATTTCATCTGTAAATATTTTAGTATTGTATGTCTCGCATTTTCTTGTGGACTTTCTAGTATTTAATAAATTCTTTAAGAAATAATAAAAATAATAACTATTAATTATTTTTATTATTAAAAGTGGACCTATATTATTAAATATAAAAAAGTGGACCATTATTAAAGTGGACCTATATATATTAATGGGGAAAAACCTCATAAATATATTGTTAAATGAAATAAGTAAGTTACAGACATCACAATTACATTTAAAAAGACCCAAACAAACAAAAATAAACAGTAAATATATATGTGTGCTCCAAAATATATAAGCATATTATAGAAAGGTAACTGCAAAAATGTACATCAAACTATTGATCCTGATTACCTCTGAGAAGGGGAGTAGTGCTTTGGAGGATGAACTTAGGGATTTTGTCCTACAGATTTTTATATTGTTTGACTAATACAAAAAATATATATTCATCATTACATATGTAATATTTTAATAAAAAGAAAAGAATTGAAGTAACCACTTTGCTCGTTGCTGCCCGGAGAGACAGTAATTCATCTGGAAAATGTAGGAAAGTCTCAAGTGCTGATTTCAGTTTCTAACTACTAAGTGACTTTCCAACCTCCTCCCTAATCGAGGTTTTTTGTTTTTTTGTTTTCCCTGCCAACTAAAAATACACTATCCAGTTCAGGAAATGTGGCTGATTGAATAGCAGCTGTGATGGACAACCTACTTTGCATATTGAAACAACCTTGGAAGAAAAATAGCAAAAGCTCGCTGTCATCGGCTCTGTTTTGAGGCATGGCTGACAGTCCTCACACACATTTGTCTTGGCCTCCACATTACCCCTCCTGCACATTTGCAGGAGACAGTCTCTGACCACTGTTTTGTTTTTTTTCACCCCTTTAGTGTCAGGAAATTTTCTACACATTCTGTAAAAACAGAAGTTGAAGCTACTTCGTGCAAAACTAACATCCTCCACATCTTTCTCACACTGTTTCACAAAGCAGATCATCCACTGCTGTTTCCTTTTCCCGTTTTTGTTTTGTTTTGATTTTTAGAGACAAAGAGATCTGCTGCCGAGATGCTATTTTTTCTGTTCAGAGGAGGAAAGAGCAAAAAGAGACAGGCACAAAAACTTCCTCCAGCTTCGCCTTGTTCCTCATTCGGTTATAAAGAGACAAGTGTCTCCAATAAAATGGAAACTAAAATAGCACAAAAGTTCTGGAAGATGAGCTATGCTGTAAACGTAAAACAGTCACAAGCCACTTAAAGTGATAATAATTCTAAGTGCAATCTGCGATGTAAAATAAAGACATTTAAAAAGTCTGCAATATTATATTCTATATCTAATTCTGCATAATGATAGTCTAGTTTTCACATACAAGAATAATAATAATATTGACATCTACCATTCATATGGCATGCAGATGCATTTTGAACAGTTTTTTTAAAAAAAATAATGTGATAGAGCAGCGGTTCTCAACCTGTGGGTCACGACCCCTTTGGGGGTCGAACGACCCTTTCACAGGGGTCGCCTAAGACCATCAGAAAACAAAAACATATTTACATTACGATTCATAACAGTAGCAAAATTACAGTTATAGAGTAGCAACAGAAATAATTTTATGGGTGGGGGTCACCACAACATGAGGAACTGTATTAAGGGGTCGCGGCATTAGGAAGGTTGAAAACTGCTGTGATAGACTATACTGAGCATTGCTCATAGCTGCTCAATAAAAATTGCATTGTACCTATAAAATATTAGAGCTGCACAAAACTTTAGAGATCACCCAGTCCAACCTTCTTGCTTTACAGATTAGAATATTGAGACTCAGAAAGGTTAAGTAACTTGCCCAAGGTAACACAGAAAGTAGCAGACCTGGGGCTAGAATCCAGACCTCCTAGTTCTTCAACCTGCCTTCTTCATCCTTTATGAAGGTGCCTCGCTGATCTAGCCACACCGACCTGCCTTGTCTCCCATTCACAAGGTAGCAGGCAAGAACTACTGCAGCATTCCTTCTGATTTCTTAATTTTGGAAATGATGATCATGCGACATAAGCACCAAATTATGAGTACATGGGACACACACACACACGCACACATGTGCATACTGTTAACACATGTTAAAGGACAGAGGTCTTAGAAGATAGCACAGTATTGTGAGAAGAGAACCATTTACCATGGAATGTTTGGTAAGTGTGGTAGAGACATTGTTGCCCATTCAACACCATCCTGACTTTCTTCTTGCTAATAATAATGCAATTTTGTTCAGTGATTGGGGGCAATATGCTCACAGCTGGACCCAGCCTGGCCAAACCGAGTACTTTAATTCTCCTGGCTAATGAGATATAAGGGGAAATTGGTTGGGAGGTTTTGGGGAAATATTTCCTTCTTGATAAAATAAATGCACACACATGCACACAAAGACACAAGAAGCCGGCCACCTTTCCCCTTCCTCTTGCTTTTGAATTCAGTTGTGTGTGAGATAAGATGCTTGTTTGTTGCTGCACCAAGGAAAGGAAACAGCACCCATAAGTTGCTGATGCCAAAGCAGAAATGTAGAAACAGATCAGCTCCTTGATGACACTACTGAGCTGCCAAACCCACCTGGAACCACTTCCATCCTTGCGGTTACGTGAGATAATAAGAAAGCCTTACTGTTCCAGCCGCTAACAGTTGGTGTTCTGTAACTTGCAGCTGAAAACATAGTTATTGTGTTTCTCTGAGCCTCGGCTTTTTCTGTATAAAATGGCAATCACAATACCTCCCTGACAGGATGATTGCAAGGAGGAAATGAGATAATTAAATGTCTAACATAAAAGAACTCAATAAATAGTAGCTACCAATGTCGTAATCATTATAACTATTTATTATATCAAAATCCTCAACAGTGGGAATGTTTTCTCCACTCCCCAGTCTCCATGGCACCTGGAAACTTTTCCCTACAACAGTAGTCTGGGGAGGAGACCAGCTTATAATGAAAAAAAAAAAATCCAATGTGTAAAATCAAAGAATAACTTACAGTGAACTATGGTGACATACCGAAAGATCTGAGCAAGCCACAAGGTGTTCATTTCTTCTGTCCTCGAAATCCCAATTCTGGAAATTGAGCCAATGTTAATAATCCAAATAAAGAGAAAAACTTTATTCACAAAATCTTTAATTCGGCATTATTTTGGAAGTAAATCATAATATTTCCTCCTGTTGTGATATAATTATGAAGCCAACACAAAACTTTTTATTAGAGACCATGTTGGAGTAAAGCAGTATCATTTTCCACATAAACTTAAGTGCAAAAAAAAAATCAGACTACAGAAGTGTATGCACACTCTGGTTACAACCACGTGGAGCACAGCTATAATTAGGCAGGACTATTATTGGCAAACGGATGGTAAGTAAGTGCAGCAGAGCACAGGAAATAAGAGGGCTGCAGGTTGTTGAAGAAATGCTGGTCAGAGAAGGGAGGAAAGATGGAACAAGATGACAATGATAATAGCCACAAGAAGGGCATTGTTTTCTCTCCACTAAGGCCATTAGGTGATTTCAAAATAGTCCAGGTAGTTGAGTGCAGAGCTGAAGGTGGGGCAGCAAAGATGCAGAATTTGGCTGCAGCAGCACCCTGAGAAGACCTCTGGGAAGGAGCCCCATCCCAGGGCACTCCACACAGGCATTAGGGGACATGGACCAGAAAGACATCCCAGCACTCCAGACACTATGAGGCAGGTGAGGAGCATCTGATACTTGGGATTTAGAAAACACAGGGAAACAGCTTCCACAGACCATTTGTGTGATAAATAGATCTTGTAGAATGTTTCTTATTGATTCACCCTCTATTATGAGAGCCTTGTTTGTGGTCAGAGTACAGGCTCACGCACCAGTTAACTACGGGGATACGTTCTGAGAAATGCATGGTTAGACTATGTTATCCTGTGTGAACATCACAGAGTGCACATACACAAGCCTAGATGGTGTAGTCTACTGTTGTAATTGTATGTGCTATACTTTTATACAACTGGCAGCATAGTAGGTTTGTTTACACCAGCTTGACCCAACTTTAGTCACCACAAACACCAGAGAAATACATTACACTACAACATTAAGGCCGTTACAACATCACTGATAGGAAATTTTCAGCTCCATTATAATCACATGGGACCACCTTCATATATGCGGCCTGTTGTTGACTGAAATGTCATTCTGTGGCGCCTGGCTGGGTACTAGAAAAGCAAAGGCAGACCGATTTCTTTTTTCTCGGGTATTCAGTAGAAGGCAGTATATCAGCAATATTTCATAAAACCAGTTGCCTGGGAAAAGCATGGAAGGGCACACAGCTATCACAGATACATGTTTTCAAAGCATATGAAAAAATAAAAAATATATATAAATGTAAGTATATTTATATATTATAAATATAAATAAAATATCTTTGCAATTAGCATCTACTGTATCTCATACCTGATCTAAATCATAATACATAAATCTTCATACATAAAATTCCAACCCATCATTAATTTGGTGGTTTTTTTGGTGGACGGCTTGCCCTTTTGCATGTATGCTCCTGCATCTGTCCCTCCATAATCACTGCACACATTGACAAGTCATGCTCGGCTCCAAAGTAGCCCATAGGATGCAGATGGAAGCCATATAGGAATGAGAATGCATGCTTCCTTGAAGGAACAGACCTCACTGACTCAGAGAGCAAGAAGATGAAACCTATGGCTGTCACCATGTATGACTTCCAATTTGGGGTCTCCCACCTGGCTCTACCACTTACTGGTCCCTTACTCATCCTTCTCTTAACTCAACTATCTCCACCTCTAGGAGGGGCCCTAAAACAGAGCAACTCGCCACTTTTTTAAATATAATAAATATTTTACAATGTTCATGTTTTAATCTAGAAATGAAAATCATAAATAAAATCTACTTACTCATATAGTGTTAAAAGAAAATCAATATAATGCTGTAACTATAAGATAGCAAATAAACAAAAGGAAGATAAACATAACCAAAAAAATACCTATTTCCCTAAAATTGCTCAGGCACAATCACATTAATGAAGCTGTCAATTTTTTCATCTAAACATGGACTCAGTGTGGCTGCAATGGCGCCAGATACAGTGTTTTTGTGGGGCTTATCCACAACCTAATACCCAGACAGCCCTTCTGAAGTCCTCTCTCTACATGAGGGTGTCTAAGAAAAAACTTCCCTTCTTGTTGAGCTGAAGGGATTGGGTAATGCAGGCCATAATGGCCTTTGCATACAACTATGGTCATATTCAATGTAATTGTTTCCCCTCCTCTCTTCTCCAGCTAATACAGGACCTTACCCCTCAGGAAAGGCTCCTTTACTTCTGGGGAACATGAACAGCCCTCACAGGTCCTCCTGAATGCCCGTCTAGGCCCTGGAAGGCAGTGCCTCTCTAAGAGCCCGGTGGTGCCACAGAAAGGCCTCCAGATGACCTGTATGCAGCCGATGTGGCGTCAGGCTTCCCTGGAATTCTCGGGGCAGGAAGAGTGTTCCTTCCCTAACTGTGTCACCTGTGGGGTGCTCAGCACCCAAGCAGCCTGGTCTGGTGCCTCCAAGACCCTCAAGTGAATGGCTTCTTCAGCTTCTGCCTGCCTTCCCTCTCTCCCTGGGGCTCAGACATGGGGAACCAGTCAGAGCAGCACCCACCCCCTGGCTCCCCAGGCGCCAAGCACACCTTAGCCTTAGCCTGCTGGGTCCTTATCCTCTGCCAGTGCCAATCCTCCTGCAAATCAAATCCTGGCAGGATTCCCACGGACTCATCAACGAGGTCTGGGTAGGACTGAGCCCCTGCCTGATCTGATCACCCAGTGCCACGGGTGGGAAGGACAAGCCCTCCTCCAGGCAGTTCTTTATTGCTTTCAGACTGCCCTGGGATAATGACAAAGATTCTTTGCCTGACCCAACTTTAGTCAAGCTCCTGGACCTTCTCCTAAGCCCATCTGTACACTTCCTTGTGAAACTCAGTTTTAACAAAAACCCTGTGAAGTCAGTTTCACCAGAATCCCCGCCCTTCATATCTGATCACCCTTCACCATCCTCCCGGTGATCTCTGATCACTCTGGTCTGCCTTCAGCAAGAATCCTGTTATTCACTTTAGCCAGAAACCCCCTGTATCTCTGATTCCTCTTAGTAATTTTTTATTCACTGCTCTCCCTCCCCCCGCCCTGTTCCTTGGCTATAAATCCCCACTTGCCCATGTTGTGTTCAGAATTGAGCCCAATTCTACACTGAGGTCTCTATCCCTATTGCAACGGACCTGAGTAAAATCTGTTTCTATGGCTTTAACTACCTTCCAGCTCTGGTTTATCTTTGACAATAATTTCACGCCCTCCCTGTAATCCCTCCAATCATGTTGCTATCTCTCACCACACACCCCGGTCCTTGAAATCTGACTACAGCCTACAACCACAGGCTCTCCACAGAACAAAACAACAGTAACACCAACACCAACGCAAACAGTGACGTACACACACACTGTATTTCTGACTTTTCCTAATTGCTTCCTCCTATTGAGATACATTGCCTGAAAACAGCAGCAATTACAATTGCTGTTTACAAAGCACTTTCTCAGTGTGACACGTTGATAGATGACTTATAAATTCCAGCAAGGTCATGAGCAAATTATTTACCATGTCTGAGGCTGGTTTTTCATTTATAAAATGGGAGAATCATGACCTCCAACTGGTTCTTGATATTTTAATGAAAGAATGTGCAGAAAGCAGGAAGTACTGCACCAATGTTATTTATGGCTTACAAGAGCCAAATCACTGCAACTCCAATCCCAAATCAGATAGCTACATGATCAATGGCTTCTGATTGGAACAATTTTTTTGAAAATTACATTTGCTGGTGGTATCATTTTGACTGGGGTAAACATAATGACATTGTTCAAGAAAAAAATAAACAATAAGTTTAATCACCCATAGTTTTACCACATTGACACAACTTTTAAATTTTTATTCTTTACCTTCAACAAAGATACCTAATTTTTACTGTTTTAATCATACTTACACAGCGTTTTAAAGCAAACAAAAGAATCTCTAGGCATCAGAAAAACCTCAAGGCCTGAACTGAAGAAAAAAACCAGATTCTCAGATTTCTCCATTGAGGAGGTCACAGGATTATGAGAGGAAGTGCAAAAGAAAGCTGCTGAACTTGGGCACAGCTGTGAGTATGGCACCCTCCTTTCTGCATCAAGTCTGAACTGCTAAGAAAGGGAAGTTTGGCTGGGCCTCACTTTGTCAAGAGCTGAAGAGCTGGGGATGTCTTTTGGCACATAATCCCCAGCCAGGACTGCGGGGAGCGCTGAAGCTGAGGGAGGGGCTGTGGATCCCACCTCAGCCCCAACCACCTGGGAAAAGGAAGCAGAAAAAGGACAACTGGCAACTGTCACCACGCTTTCTTCTCATCTCGTTCTTGGGACATACTGTGGCAGAGGAGGATCTTTTGGCCACCATCTAATAACACTGAGGTAACTTTAAGGTTTACTCTTCTACCCTGGCATGAGGAATGAACAGAGGCTGTCTTATCTTCCTCCAGGGGCAGCTGAAATATACTCCTGGGCTGAGATGGCCCTTCACCTGTCCCAGCCAAGATTCCCCCAGACTAAATTGGACAGGTCTTAGTCTTAAAATTTGGGATTTTTGAAAAACAGGAGTTGTGTTCTAGAGGTAATTTACCTTGGTAAGACAGTGGAGGAAACCACTTCGCTCTGACTGCGAAATATGTCCCCAGCCAACAGTATTTATAAATAACCACAGTTTATAGGACACAGTGCTGGTCCTGGAGGGAGTTCCAAACGCAGCAGAAGTTACCACAAGCCGGCTGTCCCCTTCACTCGGTGCACTGAGCCCAAGATAGCTTCCGTTTCAGGGGTTAGGCTTACAGAAGGAAAACGGAGGCGGGAAGCCACAGGCTAGCAAGAATTAAAGACATAGTTCAGTCATTTCTACTAAACTAGATCTGCCAGCGAATGTGACTCCACATTCCGTGACTTCCAGGGGGCCCTACCCTTTCTCTGAAGCAGGCTCCCCAGAAATAGGTCAGCTGATTGTAACTCATTCACACTCTTCCTTCCTGGCCTTGGGACATCCAGGCCTATGTTTGAAATCTGGCATGGTAAAGACACTTCCTACTTTGGAAGTAGGAGCTCTTCCTCCATATGCCTGCATAGATTTGTGTGTTCCTTCTGAAAAGAATGGCTGATGTGTGCATCTGGCCTTTCTCCCCCAGGATTTAGCAGTGGCCACCATGGGTTCTATGAGTTCCCGAGGGCACCAGACAGAAGCCCAGGTGGTGATGATGGGCCTTGATTCGGCTGGCAAGACTACGCTCCTGTACAAACTGAAAGGCCACCCGCCGCTGGAGACCCTGCCCACCATTGGCTTCAATGTGGAGCCTCTCGAAGCCCCAGGGCATGTGTCTTTGACTCTCTGGGATGTTGGGGGGCAGACTCAGCTCAGGGCCAGCTGGAAGGACTACCTGGAAGGCATGGACATCCTCGTGTATGTGCTGGATAGCACAGACGAAGCCCGCTTGCCTGAGGCAGTGGCTGAACTCACAAAAGTCCTGGACCACCCCAACATGGCCAGCATCCCTTTCTTGGTGCTGGCCAACAAGCAGGAGGCACCTGATGCTCTTCCGCTGCCTGAAATCAGAGACAGGCTGGGCCTGGAGAGATTTCCCGACCGCTGCTGGGAGCTCCGAGCCTGCAGTGCCCTCACTGGCGAGGGGCTGCCAGAGGCCTTGCAGAGCCTGAGGAGCCTTCTGAAATCCCACAGCAGCTGTGTCTCCAGGTGAGCACAATGCAGCAGCCAGTGCAGAGAGCAAGAAGTCTTGATGTGGGCAGAACAGCTTATCTTTTTGCTCATATAAACCGGAAGAAGCAGCTGGTCCTTGAGATTCTTAAGCCCAGTTTAACAGACAAGAAATCCTGTGCTTGGACAGGGTGTTTTCTTCTTGGGACTTATCATCACCGGTGTTTATGTTGAAAATCAACTGTTCTTTGAACAATGATACACTAAGGGAAAAAAAACATACCTCCTTACACTTCATTTAATAACTCATTGTCAAGTGAAAACTAAGCAATTGTAATAATAAAGTAACACGTAATAATAGAGCATGATAATTAAGATCTAAATTCACAGAGGGAAAGAAGTTTCAAAATCAAATCAGAATATCATGTGGACATGGTCGCGATCTCATGAATACTTTTCCCTGGTAGTCCCAGGGTATGTGCCGTGATCACTTTGACAGCAAGCAGCCAACAGGAGCAGGATTGATCAGGAGAGTTTGCTCCCATGGAATCCTGGGTTTAGAAGGTCACTGGGCGCTCAGCCCTGGGTAAGGGGCCGCGAGTTTCAGCCTTCCCAAACTGATCCTCTTCTCTGCCCCTGATTAACCTTTCTCTGTCTTTTTGTCATCTTGTGTCGGTCTTTTTCCAAACCTTTTATTTCTCCTCCTTATTTTCCTCCTTCTTGTAGCATATGTCTTTTCTTAAAAATTAGATTAATCAATGATTTCATTTATTCATTGATTTAATAAAAAAATATGCAGAGCATTGAATTTGTGGCAAAAGGCACTGAACTCTTAGTTATTTGAAGATATGTAAAATAGCAATAAATCTCTCTCATTATTACTAATAAATACTTCCTATAATCTGAGTTTTGTAACGGCACACAACTTGCATTTGGCACCTGCTCTCATGTTAAATAGCTCTAAATGTTGGCTATTCCTTCATATCCTAGGCTAACATCAGCCTCCTTATAGCTCTTGGTAATGGTTCTGCCCTCTCTGGAGTGACACAATATAAATTGACCCTCAGTACGCCTCCAGCATGTGACACCTGCCAGGTCCCTCTACCCAAAGTCTTCCTTTCCAGCATCAGGTTATACATGCCTAGTTCTTTTCACTACTTGTCATCAATTGACATGTTGCAAGACTTCCTGTGTTAGACATAGGAAAGTGCAAAGACACAAAGACAAATGAGACAAGGCCTCAGGCCCCCTGGAGCTCTGCTTGGGGAAGAAATAGGACAAGCTCCCCCCAAAAATGTGAAGATGGAAGCTCAATTCAGCAACTGTTTATTGGATACTTACTGGGGCCAGGTTCTGTGATCAGCACTTTATGTAGATTATTTCTAATTCTCCCAACTCTGCAAAGTAGGTATCATTCCCATCTTATACGATTAGAAACTGCGGCTCGAAGAGGTTGTGATTTGCTTGAGGCACAGAGCTATTTAGTGACATATCTGGAATTTGAAACCAGATGTGTCTAGCCCTAATGATGCCGTCATTCTTTCATGGCAATATGCTTCTAGAAGGTTTAAGCTAAGGTTCATCTTCAGTCAGCGGTTGTGATGGGGGGAACAGTCTAGTCAGAAGGAGGAGGCTGTTTTGAAGTATGAGGGAGAGTATAGGAAGGATAAGTAAGCTAGAGCTGCTGAAATAGGAATTTGGGGGTGAGAGTGACCTATTATAATAGGAAAAAAAACTGAAAAAAAAGTTTAGGTCCAAGTTGAGGAAGGCTTGGACTTCCATAATCAGGAGTTTGGCTTGGGGGAGTGAAATTATGGGACTTGGCATGTAGGAGGATAACTTAGTGGCAGTGTGGGGATGGATTAAAGAGAAGGGGGGCCACTGTAGATGGGACGCAGGGAAACCAGATAGATGCTGATTGTAGTAACTGAGGAGAAGTAGAGAGGTGAGAAAATTGAGAGCCATTTCTTAAGGGGAAAAGCTGAGAGAGGAAGAATTTGAAGACAGCTCAAGATTTGGGATCTACATGACAAGAGGGATTGGAATGAACTAAGAAGGTGGACACAGGAGGAACAGGTTGGAACAGGGATCAGGACTGCTGGGTTCTACTTTTGAAATGCTGGGTGTGAATGTGTTTACAGCTTCTTTCAGATCGTTCCATTATCTGTACTCCTTGAGACACCAAGGACCCTGATAGATGCACCTGCTGGTTCCCACTTACAGAGACTCATTTCCTCACATGATTTGTCACTTTTTATTGTGAGCTTATCTTTAGTAGGATTTGTTTTTCCTGTGTGACTCCCACGTGCTGTGGATTGTGACAGGGCTTCTACATAGAGTTTTTTTTACATTGCTATCTACTAGGATTGTAGAGGTTTTGGCTGTTTTAGACCAAATATTATGTTAATTTCTTTGAGGCTCATGGGCCTCACAGGCAGTATAAATCTGGATTTTGCACCCATTCATGGTACAGTCCCTAGGAATTCAATTTCTGACAGGTGATCTTTTCTCTTTGCACCCACATCCCAAGATAGATCATTTGCTTCCTCATACTCCCCTGAGCTGGTGGCAGCTTTTTCTATTCCCTTTTTAAGGAAGGGGCATCTCTTTTATGTTCTTGTTTTTCTGCTGAGCTCAGATCAAAAGTTTCTCTCCTCCCAACAAGCCTAAGGCCACACCTCCCATTTTTGTAAGATGTTATTACCTCAGCCAGGTCCCTCGAGCCTAAATTTGACTCTTCTAAGATCCTCTATGGACTCCAGGCTTCCAGCTTATACCTGCTTTTGCTGTTGTTTCTCCCTTCATTGCTGCCACTTGAGGGCTCCCCTTTCTTTTGTACAAGGACAGCATACATTAAAATAAATTNATATATATATATATATATATATATATATATATATATATATATATATATATATATATATATATCGTTGGTTACAGTTTACCCAGCATTTCTATGACTGCATAATGGGAAAGGGTCCATCTGCCATGTTGCTGGATGTCCTGGTTGTTTTGTTTTGTTTTTTTAAAGATTTTATTGGGGAATTGAGGGAGGGAACAGTGCTGGGGAATCGGGGGAAGGGGAACAGACAAGTTGCTGTCCTTTTGTTCTTCAGTCTAGTTGTGGAGGGCGTTGCTTCACTGGCCCAAGTTGGCACCATCATTGCGCTCTTCTCGGGTGAGGCAGATCGCTCGCCGGCCATTGGATGGCAGCTCTCACCAGCTGCCGGCCGCTCATGCTGGCTGCTGGCCACACACATTTGCTTATGGCAGCCCACTGCAGCAGGGACTGCAGCCTACACCATCGCTGGCGACCCACAGCAGCCCAGCTCCAGGTCGAGCTGTTGTTCACCAACCTAGCTGTGGAGGGCAGAGTCACTGGCCCTCATGTGGGATCTGAACCAGGGCTCTGTTGCTCAGAGCTGGCATCCCAAGCCAGCTCTTAACCAACGTGCCACTCGGCCGGCCCTGTCCTGGTTGTTTCGATATGTGTCTGGGAGCCTTCCTGGGGTGCTGGCAGGAGACGCTATGATGAGAAAATCTCTACTTAGGAAGATAAACTAGGCAGTGGCATTGTAGTGGAGAGAGGATCCTGAAGGCAGGGAGACCGCCTAAGGGACGACCAGGGTGTCTTTTGACCGATGTGCACACTCTTAGCACCATTGGTCTGAATGGATGTCCTATCACTGTAGCAGCCCCATCTTGCTATGGGCATCTTTCTCCCTTCTCTTGACAATGCCCTGCTTCAGCCGGGCCAGTCTCCTTTCTGTCACCAGGAAGTACCAGGTTCTTGCCCAGCTCCAAGTGTGGTGCTTCTTGGTGGACAAGGCAGAGCGGACAAGGGGGACCAACACGTAGCTCTGAGTGTGTGCCAACAGCCCCAAGTCCTTGAAGGCAGACATGTTTAGACTTCCTAAGCCCCAGGAAGTCTCCTTTCATCATCCCCCTTGGATAAGACTTAGGAAGAAGGACAACAAAGCAAAACATCAGAGGAAACATGCCTAGTTAGTGTTGACCATCACTCCCTGCTGGTCCACCTTCTGATGGGATGGAATGAACATCAAATCAGTAGAATTACCAGCAAGTGAGTTCTGGGATGTGAACTCTACAGGTCTCTGGACAGAAGGTGGGGCTTGAGAGCCTCAGAGCCCAAGGGCAGCTCTGCCAGCCTTCCGCCTCACTGGCTCCTGAGATGTTTGCCTGAAGCAAGCATGGGAATCCCACAGGATGCAACGTCCTGTGGCACCCTCCTGGGATTTCTTTCTCCTGTCAAGCTTTCATGTCCATTAGAAGTCCTTGTAGTTATAATAGTGACCCTAACAGTGGCAGCATTCTTCCATTGTCACACAAACTTGTGGATGCCTCCTGGCAACCCTGCTGTTCCTAAGGCTTAGGATGCTTTCCTGTTCAAATCCTGCCTATTATTTAAGGACTCTCAGATCCCACCTCTGCAGGAAGCTTTCCCCGCACACTCCAACTATGTTTATCTTCCCTCCGAACTCCCATGGTGCTGACTGTCCACGGTCCCCTTCTTAGTGCCTGAACTGGGACACTTCCACATGTGAGTATGTGTTCTCCCCAGATATGGAGTAAATTCCAAAAGATAAGAGGCCATCTGTTCATCCTTAGGCCCCTCTTCAAAGCCTGGACTAATATGAGATAATGAGAGTTGCTCATTAAATACCTGGGTGAATAATGAAGAACTGATTAAAGCTATTGAACTGGGTGTTATGGCAGAGAGTCCACAGGTTCTCTGAACTGTCTAGAATAAAATCCAAAAGAAATGAGAACACCAAGCAGCTCATTGGCTTGAGAGTCAAAATGGCAGCACAGGGCCGGCTGAGTGGTGTGCGATGGTTAAGAACTGGCTTGGGACGCCAGAGGGCTCCAGTTGGGATCCCACATATGAGGGCCAGTAACACTGCCCTCCACAGCTAAGATGCTGAACAACAGCTCAACCTGGAGCTGGGATGCCATGAGTCGCCGGCGATGGCATAGGCTGCAGCCCCTGTGGCAGTGGGTTGCCATGGGCTACCGTATGTAGCCAGCAGCCAGCGTGAGCGGCCAGCAGCCGCAGTGAGCAGCCGTCCAGAAGCCGGCGACTGATGTGCCTCACACGGGAAGAGCGCAATGATGGTGCCAACTTGGGCCAGTGAAGCAACGTCCTCCACAACTAGACTGAAGAACAAAAGGACAGCAGTTTGTCTGTTCCCCTTCCCCCAATTCCCCTATCTGTTCCCCTTCCCCCAATTCCCCAATAAAAATCTTAAAAAAAAAAAAAATTAAGGGCTGGCCGAGTGGCTCAGTTGGTTAAGAGCTCGCTCAAGAGTTTGAGCTCTGAGCAACAGCAGTTCGCGTCCAGCCCGAGCTGAGCAGCCGCTGAGCTGCCAACAGGTAGCAGGATGGCTCAGCTAAAAACAAACAAAAAAAATTAAGCATAGAGTTCTCACAGATCCCTTTTCCCACCATTAGCACTCTTCAGACCCAGACTTGTTCTGGTGACACGCTGGTGGGGCAGAGTCGGGGGGGGGGGCGAGAATGCAGTTCAGGGTCCAAGACTGCTCTTGAGAATTCTGAAACTCTGGACACTCAGCCTCCAGCCCCCTCCCTACCACAATTATCACCTTTATTCTGGTCTTCTCTCCTCACTGCCTAGCCCAGAGACAACACTTTCAATTTGAGTACCCAAAAGCCCAGATTTAATATTTTCCTCAAGCACTTTCAATGCACCCTTCTCTTGCAAAGACTAGTATATTGAATAAAGAGGAAGGATTTCAAAAGACTGGTAATTAAATCTCACACTCAATTCCACTCCCTTCTGAAATTCTACAATTCCAGATGCATCCCTGAGACTTCAGTTTTTAAAAGAAAATGTCCCTAGAAGAATGGCAGCAGGGGGAGTTATTTGCACTTTAATCATGTGAATGAATTCTCAAGATCCTTTCAGGGGTAGTTTTGTTAAGAAAGCAAAGCTAAAAGTTGAGAACAGCTGAAAGAAGTATGGGGGTGTTGCCAAAAAGCAAAGGGCCAGAACTTCACAACTTTGCCCAAAGTTATAATGAATGTGGGCCACCTCTCGCCCATTGTCCACACAGCAAGGACCTACTGTGCGCAGATAGGAGGCCCAGAAAGGAAGATCTGGGTGTGTAGGACTGCCAGCTTCTCTAAGCACTTGGGTAGGGAATTAACAATCTGGCCTCTCCTTCCTACCGCCCTCCCACCTCAGCCCAGTGTCTCTTCAGAGGGTGGCTTTCCGAGGCACAGAGGAAGGCAGACAAGTTTGGAGAACGTATCCAGGATGGGGTGGGGAGCGGCAGATGGAAAATAAGCAGCCCAAGCTCTTTATTACTGTTCAATAGAGAACTAACTTCCAAGGACAACCAGCAAGAAGGTGGCTTCAGTATCTAATTGGGAAAGCCATGTTTCCCTCAGTTGTATCCTATACTTCAGCTTGACAGAGTGGAGAAGGACAACATCATGACCCAGGCAAAACTGAGGATCACAAAATTCCATAGGCCTAACCCTACTAGGCGGGGAGGGAATTCACTCTTTTAAACCCTCATTGCGATATCTTAAAGCAAGTTATTTGCAAAGTTACCCCCTCCAGCCACTTTGAAGATAGGTCAAGTTCTCTGGGATGATCAGATGATGCCTTTGAATCAAGAGCTCTGGGCGGAGGCGTGAGAAGCCTGCTGGTTGTTTTGTTCTGACACAGCCACGGGTCACAAGGTTCTTACACAAGCTTCGGGGTGGCCCTGCCACCCGGCCTTCCTTCCCCTCAGCCAGTGACGATGATTCAGGAGATTTCAGAAAAGAGCTCATGGGACACTCAACCAGCAGGTTTATCCTGGGGCACTTCTCAGGCATTTTCCTAGGTATTACATTAGGAGCTGGTTCCAGATCTGACTGAGAAGATGGACATTCACTTCCAGGCTCTGCCTGCAACACTTCAGTGAGTTCAGGCTAGAATATGAGGAATACAGGACCTAAAGGGGGTCTTTAGAAGGGACAAGAAAAGAAAGTCATTAATACTTGTGGTTTAATGTTGTGTAATGCACACATGCATATAACCTCTAACTCCCCAAATCTCACCCGGGGGGATAGTAAAGGATTAACCCTCCATCAGACGCAACTGATCTCACAGATTGTTTTGAATTTCTGTTGATTTTTATACTGAATTTATGTAATAAACATATATTGTTTTTACTTTGTGGCAAATTAAAAATTCATTCTCACAAAATAATAAGCATGCTTACATGTCATTTTCAATTTAAATAAATAAATGTCATGCACGCATCTAGTAGATGCATTGCGCCTGAACTCGTAACTTTTGCATTGTACCCGACAGTGGGTTAATAAAAGGCGGGGGAGGGGGTGAAAACCAAACTCCACAAAGACAAAGAAAGGAGAAGAGAGAGTAGCCGGCTTGAGATAGCAATAAAATTATGGAAGATAGAAAGTGACCTCACAGACAAGAGAAAGTAGAAACCTAAGTTGGCTGGGGGTTCGTGTGTGTGTGTGTGTGTGTGTGTGTGTGTGTCAAAAATCTTACTCTGTGCCAGGCATTGGTTTAAATTTTGAAGGTGTATTAATTCACATAATCCCCCAACAACACTAGAGTCGTGCCCTGATTTTGGAGATGAAGTTAAAGAACTTGTTCCAGGTCACGCAGCAGTATCTGAACCCCCTGCAGAAGGGGTGGCCCAGATACCCTGCTCTGTGCAGCCTCACAGGGATATAAGCAAGCTCTTCTGCATCAACCCCAGGAGCTCTCAGGACTTGGAATATGGGGGGGCTCCAAAGCGGGGCTGAAAACAATTGGTGGAAAATCTGGATGA